TGATTATAAGAATATACGTGTTGAAGACATAAAATTTTAATCCATTATATAGGTTGTAGCCAACACGAACACTGGTATAATGCAAACATGAATGAGTGCAATTATATATTTACGTGTGTGTACATAACAAATTTGGCTTAATGGTCTTTACAATTGTTAAGTACTTTTGATTGTAGATATAGAAGATAAAGATAAAAAGTTTGAGTATAGATAAAGAACTTTATTTAAATTAAAATTAAAATGCTAATATTATTTATAATATTATTTTAATATTATACCGATCGTTCTCTGATTCAGATCAAAATTACGATCTGTGAATGAATGAATGGATGTATGAATGGATCCGCCCTGGGGTCCGAACGGGTGCGACGTTTAGTGTGGCAGAAGTCGAATTCTTGGCCATAGATGGCGCCACTGAAAAACAAGAAATGCACACTCCGTCTTAAATTTGTTCGGTCTCACCAAGCAGGCTTGCCCGTTTAGCAAGTCGCATTAAAAGCAACAACAACGCAACATAAGTGTATATGATAGAAATTAGCTATAATATTTCTTATTTTAGTTAAACTAGTAGATCCATGGAAGAAATTTCATACTGAAAATAAGCAACAGAATCTGTATATAAAATGTTATTATCTGAACAGAAACAACAGAATAATTTCCAAATAACAAATAATATGTATTTTATTTTTAATGATAAAGAAATAAAATCAGTGGGAGTATGCTATTTTATTAAAATTATTTTGTATTTGCATGGGAGCATTTTAATAATTAATAGTGGTTGTTTGCGAGTTAGAAAAGCAAATTTCTTTACAAATATTATTGCTTACTAGGAGGCTCCACCCCCTGATCGCTAACGCTCGCCAACCCCTGAGAATTGCTACGCAATCCTATGTGGTTCACGGCGTGAACCATGGCTCGCTGCGCTCGCTCGCCAATGAACACAATGTTCTAGCACAAAGACATAATATATTATCATCAAAGACATAGTATTTTATCATCAAAGACATAGTATT